TTTAGGAGTTTCGGGTTTAGGGCTTCGAGAGTTTAGGTGTTCAAGGGTTTAGGAGTGTCGGGTAGTTTAGGGGTTCGAGAGTTTAGGTGTTTAGGGGTTTAGGAGTTTCCGGTGCAGGGGTTCGAGAGTTTAGGTGTTCAGGGGTTTAGGAGTTTCGGGTGTGGAGGGGTTTGGGTTTTGAAGAGTTTTGGGTTCAGGGTTTCGGGAGTTTAAGGGTTTGGGGTTACAGGGTTCAGAGTTGCAGGGTCTAGGGCTACCGGATTTGGGTTTCTGGGCTTTGGGGTTTTAGGATTGGTCTCAGATTGATGTAGGACTTACTTGTCAATCGAATGCGAGATTGTTTCACGTCTCGCTTTTCAGACCCCAACCCACCCACTCTTTGCACGTCTTTTTTGCCCTTACCTTTCAGCCAAAAACGACAACTCTTAGCCCTAAGTCAACTTGACCGTTGCCCTGCATCCTCGACCTTCGGCCCGAAGCACACAACCTAAGCCGCTAAGCCGCGAATACGGAATCGAATGCCGTCACAGTGTCGAAACCTGACACAAGCGGATGGCGCTGCGTTTGAGAGGCAACTCCTGGCTGCTGGACGGACGACCTCAGGCGGAGCTGCGTTTGCGGCCAAAGGCCACGGCGACTTCCGGGAATCGGGACTTGTGTAGCACTACACTGGTTGTTTCACCGGCACTATGGAAAGCATGCCGGTTAGGGTTTTCGATCTCTGAGAGCTGGTAGGCTTTGGCAGGATTGGCATGTGGTTTACGAAGGTGGCTAGTGTGAACCCCAACCCAGAACTTTGAGAATCTCTGTGCTTCAAAGTCAAAAAGTGGAGCCGAAGTCGCCCAAGCCCGCAGCCCGCCCCTGAACTCCAAAGGCCTAAAGCAAACAAGTTCTGAACCTTGGGGCATCAAAGCTTCGATCGAAACGAGGGTCCACCTGGGGGAGCATCCGGTGCAGCGGAAGAGGCCAGGGATAGCGTACGTAAGTTATAAAATTATAAAGGCTTTATTTCATCAGATACTCTTAAAATGGGCTTGGGATCCGAAATGGTGGATTTGCCCGGTCCTGGAATCTTTGAGGAGGTTTTCGCTTTGGGTTTCGAGCATGGTTCGGCAATCCCCCGAAAGCAGTGACCGCCTTGAGCTTCCGAGGTCACCGAAGCCGCACCAACAACGCCAGAAGTTTTGGTTCTCGAATCACAGTGGATGCCTCCAACCATTGGGACAATGCGATAGAAACACCGAAGATGAATCCTGTATGCAAAATAGGCCGCCAGCGCCACCAAAGCCCAGCAACCTAACATGTTGCTTGAACAATCCCAGAGCCATATTGAGTATTGGATAACTCGCTGGCGGTAATGCTCAAACTTACAGCCTCAAAGCAGTCAGTATACATTGGATAAGCAAGTTCATAGGTAAAAAGTACATGCATGTAGTGCAGTGTAGTTGGCTCATTCAGTTCATGAGTTCATAGGTACATGAGCACATGAGCAAGCGGATGCGCAAACAACTTAGGAACTTGACTAAAGGAACAGGTTCATGCATAGGCCCTTAATCCATACACATGCACCTATTACTACATGATACATACATACACGCCATCACACTACTCGTGCATTATACTACATTACACTACACTATATTGCACAGAGACATACATATACACATTCACAGACGAACATGCCCACAAACCTAACATACACAGAATCACATACACACAGACGCACACACATACAGACACACAAATATACATATTTACATACATACGTACGTGCCTACACACACACACACAATCGCGCACGCACATACATACGGACATATGCACACAAACACTTCATGTCTATGCATATATATATACATATGTGCATACATACATATATATATATATATATATATATGCTCATATATACCCTTATACACATACACATACACATGCAGATACATATACATATACATATACATATACATACATGCACGATCATGCACGCATATAAACTGTATATGTGCGTACCGACGATGCGAGTCTGCCTGGAGGCCACAGGCCGCGGACTTGCGGGCTCTGCGTGGAAGGTGCGGCTGGCCATCAATGGGCCGGAAGCCCCGGTAATCAGCGGGAAGGGCTTACGACGTTTAGGGTTTCGGGTGTTTATCGGGTCTAAGAGGGTTTGGGTCTCGGGGTATAGCGTCTGGCGGTACAGGGGTTTATGGGGTCAGGTTGGAGGCTTTGGTAGGGCTCGGGGAGCTGAGTTGAGGATAGGGAGTTCTTTTGCGATAAGGGGTTCTCTCCTGCAGGGATTTAATTTCGGGATCTTAGATCAGGTATCGGTCCCCATGTTAACACTGTCATTGTCTCCTATATATCGGGGATTTTGCTCAGCTGCGCGTGGTTCAGCTTTTGGGTAGAGGACAGTGAGGTTCACTTCCATGTGCAGTTGAAGTCTTCGGGTCTGAAGGGTTTGAGGGCTTTTGGATTTGATGGTACTAAACCATATTATATCCCCTATAATATGTTTGGTTTGAGGGCTTTTGGCTTTGATGGTAGGAGGTTTGGTGTTGATTTCTGGCAGAGGCTGAGCCAAGGGCAGGAGGGGCTGATTGCGATTAACTACGACTGTTCTCCAACTCTGCCATGCGCTACTCTCTTGGCACTGATGTAATCCTAATTCATCAGGAGTGCTTCTTCATGTGAGTTAGTGTGTGGCATCCAATACCCTATTGAAACGCCCTGATTTGCGGCGAAACTGTGAGAGATACCGGTTATACCACCCCTCAATGCGAAACGAGAAAGCAGCTCCGTTCCGGATTCGCGAGCCCAGGAAATGGCGCCTGGTGGCCCCGTGCTCAGTGAAAAATTGCTTGGTATTTTGCCTGCATTCTTTCCTGATGAGAGCAGCGAGACAGGTCAGAGTTGCCCCAGTCCCTGTTGAGGTGAAGTGCCCTTGCTGACCAAAAAGTATTTCGTCCGGCTGCATTATGTAGGTTGCTGTTCCGGTGATTCTGCTAGTGGTAGGACCTTGCGCCACGCCTTTGCCTTCACCTGCCATGTCGCTCTGCATGGTGCTCGTTCTGGTGTTGCCAGCCCTGGCCGCCACAGAGCCTGTTTCAGAGGGAGCACCCGAAGACCTGGCAGAGAGTTCCTGGAATAACTTCCTCTACTGCAAGTGTGGCCTCAGCTGCCGATTGGAGGATGCCTCCTGGCCTATGCAACGGGTCGGTCCGTTTGGGTTCCTGGAGCATGCGGTCCTTCCTGGCCCTCCCCTGCGCCCAGGTTGGTTCCTGGCACGTCTTTACCCTTGGGTCAGCTTGCGGCTGCTTAGAGTGCCCGGAGCAGAACGGCACCAACTCCTCCCTCCGGGGAAGTGCGCACTCCGCCCCTTCCAAGGATGTGCAGGTTCGCAGCTTCTGCTGGGACTGTCGGTGATTTCGAGTTCAGGGTGAAGGGCATCGGGTTGGAAGTTCGACCTTCTATATAAGGGACTCACGGCCCTTAGCACGGCACCTAAGCTGATACTGCATCTCCTCATCCTCAGCTTTCAGCATGATGTGTCTCAGTCAGAACTCAGTCATTTAGCCACGTGGCTTAGCGAATGAATTGAGTTGTCAGCACCGCCAGGTCGCAGTGAGACAGCCAGCAGAAGTGCCAAAGGAGCCATCGGACGGTGATGCAGCTGTCGCCCAGGCTTTGGAGAAGCAATGACCGGAAGTGTAGGAACGAAGCTAGTGGATGCAGGATGAGACACTTAGTTTTGTCATGAAAGCCTTGGATTGCATGGGTTGCGGGCTGAGAAGGGGCAGTTACCCCCAAAGCTTCAGCTGAAAAAGCAGCCCTCATGAAGGCATAGGCATAGTTTTGCAGCTTCAAGGCTTTGAGGTCAGCACCTCATGAACCGACCAGGCCGAAGTGAGCAAGCACTCCTTGTTTTTGTCGCTGGCTTTCTCTCGAAGGCAATCGACGCGGAGGTGTCAGCGCCGAACACGAAGCTCAGGGCCACGTGGGACAGTGCCCACATGAAATCCGCCAACCTGCTGTTTTGTGCCTTAGTCTGCAACTGTTTAGCTGGGCACGCTCTCGACCGTTTGTCATTTACGGCAGGGCTTGTGGATTCCAGAATATCCTGCCGGACAGACCAGCTGGGATCGGGTCATGGAGTTCTCCCAGCCCGAATAAACCTTTGGAGAATGAAGACGAGGACCATAGCAAGAGGCTCATGGATGTAGCAGTGCGTTCGTGGCTAAGGTAGGTGCGGCAAACACTGCGCCAAAGGCCGCATTCTTGGCCTCTGGAATTATTGGTGCTATCGCTATGAATGCAGGCCGTGCTAAAGTGCAGAACACCGATGGGTAGCCTTTGTACAGTTGCTTGGCGTTGCCGCGACCACCCCAATAGCAGCGCGAGCTGACTCCAGGCCCCTGCAATTTGTTGACACCGTTTCAACGTGGGGCGTTTGGAGATGTGAAGCTTTGTCCAGCAGCCGTGCTGCACAGGGGGGTGAGGGATCGACCCTCGGAATTTGCAGTACAGACGGCAGCCAAGTCTCTTGAGCACCATTCGCTGGTCAGCTCATGCGGTTCACACAGTGACATTGGTAGGCTGTCCATACTAGGATCACATCTTCCGAGACTGCCGTGATCCGAAGACAGCCAAAACAAGCGTTTTATCCCTTTGGCCTTGCGAGATGTGAAGGCAAGCGTGCCTTTTGCACCCCGTGCACATCCAGTTTGAGCCAGACCTCGGAAATCAAAACAGAATCTAGAGCCTGGATGGTTCCCATGACGTAGATGGTTTCCATCATGTTGAGGTGCCTGCCAAACAAGGATGCAACATGGGGCAGGACATTGAGAAGTCGAGATGGATGTTAGGAGAATGGCATGGGTCTGGGGCTTCCAGCCGGCTGTCGCTAAATTGCAAAGGTCTGGAATCGGCCGAACCTTGAGCGGCAAGGCATGCAACCCTCCGGTTTGCGCAGCTTTTGATTTATCAGCACCGAAACTCCCAAGAACTTAGCCAAGCAGCAAGCTGTAGCCCCAAACCCCAAACCCCCTAAACCCACCAGACCCCAAAAGGCCCGGCAATTGTCATTGTGGACTGTCTGGGCCCCCGACTGCTCAGCGCTGCTCAGGATTGGGAGCGTCTGGATCAGCCATTGGTGCCAGTAGTGCCCCTGCAGAACTGAGGGGTGCTCTGCGGAGCTTTTGGATCTTGTGTCTGATTTCAGGATTTCGGGCTTTAAAATTTCAAAACCACCAATATATGTTTCAGGCCGCTCTGAGTTTCGCAAGCTTGAAGACCAAGCTTCGATTGGTTCCCAAAGTCCAAACCAGCAGCATGAATATTGGAAGTCCTCCTTACTCAATTTTGGAGCCATCCATCCCAGACCCTGTATCCTAAACTCGAAGCAGGAAAAGGGTTTGTGGATTGAGTTTTCGGGCTCGGCGGGTGCGACAGGGTATGGGTTCAGGAAGATGTATGGGAGCTTCACTGGCCTTACCGCCTGAGGAGGACCTGAAAAAGGGCGCCTACTTCATCACAGCCGACTTCAATGGCTGGGGCATTGATCCTCGGCCATTTCTCAGACTGCAGCGCTAGGTTTTTGACTCCTAACCCTCTCTGCGCAAAGAAGAACTCCTCGAAGCGATGGTTCTCCCGACTTTTGCACCCGGACTCCGGGGTTCCTTTGAGTTCATTTGCATCGCTCCAGGCCTGCTCTGAGCCGTGAGCCCAAAGCTCCAAAGCCCTCTTCAAAGTTCTCCCTGGCTGCTTCGGGAAGAACCGAGGAGCCCATGGTGCAACAGGCCGATGGCAGCTGGACCTTTGAGATTCACCTCATTCGTCCAGGTGGACCGTGGGGAGGCATGTGAGAGAGGCCCCTGCATGCTCAGCGAAATGACACCACGATGGATCCGACGCTCGGAGCTTGCCCCCCAACGGACTTCACTGTGTGGGGCTAGGTCGATCGTCGATGGTGTATGCTCAGGTACACAGCCAGCAGATGTGTGCGTGGGTAGGCTGGGTAGGATATGATTGCGCATGCAAGTCACATGCATTTTTTGTATGTACATAACAAGATAGCTACGCCTCCACACAGAGATAGAATACTAGCCACGTCACGTGTGTAATGTCAGGTGCGAAAAGGTCGAGGCTGCACGTGGGTCTCGTTAGGGCTGCGTAGTGAGCGAACACCCGGCAACCTGGACAGCAAGTATGTAGCAGCCACGACCATCGAGTTGAAGCCAAACATCCCAACAGATGATAATCAGAGGATACTTGTGGCCACGTGCTGTGAGCTGGGATGGGCTGGGGTAGTTTGGAGGCCCCTTCCTCTGGTAAGTCTCCGTCTCCGGTGGAAGGATCGGACCTCGCACTGTGATTGCAAAGGGGCCGCATTTCAGAAGCCTTGATGTGCCAGGTTCAAATCTTGGAAAGGCCTTTAATTCTATTGACGCCTTGATACGGAGAATGACGGAACCAAAAGCTTGCACTGCGGCGTTCAGACCCTGACAGGTGGCCAGTTCCAGATCCTCAGAAACCGCGACTCGGAGCAGGTTCTGCGCCTCGGCCGCATACGTAGGGCCCTCGCAGGTGTTGGCTTCGGGCAGCTGGGCTTGTAAGTTTATGGCTTCGTTTTGTCCCCCTGTGGTTCGGGTTGATCTTCGGAACATGTCTTCAATCTGAGGGACTTCGAGCCCGGCCCTTCGGGTCCTGACTTCCAACTTGTCTAAGTCTTAGACTGTCTTTGCCACCCCTTGTGACCCTGATCCCTGCAACCCCAAGCAAGCCAAAGGTATCCGGCTGCCTGGGCGGATCGAGACCCATCGGCTGTGCGTGGTCCGGACGATGGTAGCGACGGCCGCTGTTGGTACCTCAAGGTCAGTCAGGGTCCGTTGAAAAGGCAAAGGCAATCGCAACCATGGAGAAGAAGTTGAAGATTATCATGGAGAGTAATTAACCAGTAGCAAAACGAAGCCAAACAATACACGAATTGCAAGATCACCATGCTGAAGCTAAGACTAGTGGTGAGGCAAGTCTCCGTCTTCTTGTTGCCGTTGTCGAGGTCGTCGTGGTGGTCATCGTTGTTGTTCATGTTGTTGTCGTTGTTGTAGTTGTTGCTACTGTTGCTGCTGAATCACCGAAGGTGATGACGGTGTATCATGATGTCGATGCTGGTGGTGGTGAGACTGACCATGTTGCTGGTGACCGTGATATGGCGGCCATGATGCTGTTAACAACGGTGGGTGTGCTGATGATCGAGACAATGAAAGCCAATGGTAGTCTAGTTCTGGTTGATGATGGTGGTGGACGGTGATGGTGGTCAGTGTGGCAGTGTTGTCGATGATGCTGATGTTGATAAGGATGATGATGATGACGATGATGATGATGATGAGGGAGACAAATTAACGCCTTCGGGCCGTTGCCGGCAGAGAGAGAGAGAGAGAGAGATGGAGACCAATCTGGCGGCAATGACCGTGATGATAATAAGGAGGGTGCAGACGCGGATATTGGCAACTAGTTATCATTTCTATAGCGGAGACGGTTATGCTTCGGCTGTGGTGATGCTGCTTCTTGATGCTTCTGCTGTGGTGTGGCGAGGGTGCTGCTGTTGTTATGGTGTTTGCGGTGGCAAAGACAATTGTGTAGATCATGGTAGTCTTGGTGGTGGTGAGTCTGATCATGATCATGCTGGTGAGGGTAATGATGGTGTTGCTGGTGATGGGATGTGGCGGCTTGCTGCTACTCCGCTGTGGTGATTCTCTGACAGCTGCTGATGAGCAGGGAAGGAGTGGATACAATGGGCACCTGCAGCTGGATGACCATGCTGATGACGAGCAGTTGGATTTTACACTCGCTTCACCATTCTTAACCTCACTGTGGGCCTTTTGCTTTCACTATTGTCGTTGTCACGCTCTTGATTGGTAGTAGGACCACTGCAGGCAGCGCACACTACGAGGACGACAACCAGCCCACCACGACGACTGTCACTACACCACTAGTACGAGTGTTTGGACTTTCACATTGGCTCTTCGTTCTACTATCTTCGTCGTGACGAGGTACATTTTCAAATCTGTCTCTGAGACTCGCACTTTTGCAAGAGAGCTCCTGCACTGCTCTGAGCCCAAAGTTCTAAAGTTCTTTCCCAACGCCGGAACTCCTCCCTAGGCAGTTCCTAAACTACATCCTCGGCCGCAGGGTGAGCAGTGTGACGTCTTCTGCTTGTCCCTGCAGCGCCGAATAGACGACGGTCTGGATGTGCTTCGCGGGCTGCAGCGAGGTTTGATGTCTATGATTGGGTTACAACCACAAGCCCCCAACAGGGAAAGTCGGGCAAGAGAACCTTCCCGCTCCAAGCCAACAGTCAAAAGGAGTCCGAACCCGAGCCGCACAAGTGCAAAGGCTGTACAACACCACGTTCTGCAGCCCCTGCCCCCAGCAATCGCTCGACCCGACCTGATGAAACTGAGTTCCGTTCGCGACACCGTAGTGCAAGTCAGACCATGGCAACTTCAGGAAGAGGGTCTCCATCGAGCGCACGGGGCAGAAGGAGACCCAGGGTTCTCGGCAACAGCTTCGAGTTGTGGAGCGCGAAGCAACCTGAGATCAGCTTTGTAAGTGCGTGCAAGGATTTGGAAGCTCTGTGGGCTTCGACTTGCTCGGAAGGCGGCATCGTCCTGGAATGTCAACCCACAGAACCTGGTATTTGTGTCGTATTTCGCACCTATAATTTCAAACTTTAAGAATGATCCCAAACTCCAATAGACAGCAAAAATCCTCGAGCCCCAAAATGCCAAGCTTTCCCAAACCCTGAGCTTCCGAACGTAATCGCCAACATATCTTAGAAAACAGCTCTAAAGGAATCACGCCTCGAAACAGGAGCTAAACGATGCACAGCTTCGACAGCTCGGGCGCCTCCGATTAGCCGCTTTCGGAACCTGGGATCGAGGCCTTGATGGCACTGAGGGGTTTTATATAACTTCGTGTGGTTTAAGATTTTGCGGGATTCTTGGATTGTGGGTGATTCTTAGCCAAAGGGCTTTGGTCACGTTTTGAGGGCTTCGCCGTGCTCACTCGATTCGACAATAGGGTCACACGAGGTTCGTAGGCCGCATGTGTGCTTCATACTGTTCTGCAAGTATGAAAAGGTGTTTCAGATTTTGTAAGTTCGCGTTCTTGTTGGGCTTGTGGGGTTGCGCACTGTTTCCGGATTAAGCTCAGGCTTTTTCGTTTTAGGTTCTTTTGCATGGTTGCGGTAAAAGAACCATGTAAAGGTGCCGAAGGGGGAGAAGTCGTGGTCGTGGCCGTGGAATGCAGTTGTGACCGTCGTCGATCCACCACGCCCGAAACCATCAGCCCGAATCCTGATCCCTGGTCTCGAAACCCTCAACGAAACCTAGCTCCTGAACATTCCGCTCTGGAAGGCTCGAGACTACGCGAGCTGCCTTGGGCTGGCGCTTTGGGTGCAACGATTATGTTCGACGAGCGGCAACTAGGGATATGTCCCCGCGGGTCATCGCCAGCATCTTCATCGTCGTTGTTAATGTCGTCATCATGCTGATCCTCTCCCCACTCCTCCTCCTCCTCATCGTCATCATCGTCGCCATCATCATCATCATCATCATCATCATGATCATGATCATGATGATGATGATGATCATCATCATCATGAACATCATCACCATCATCATCATCATCATCTCCATCAACATCATCATCATCATCACCACCATCATCATCATCATCAACATCAACACCACCATCATTATGATCATCGCCATCATCAACATCGGCATCATCATCATCGTCAGCATCGTCATCGACGTCATCATCATCATGATCATCATAACCATCTTCATCTTCTCCTTCATCTTCATTTTTCATCTTCATTTTCATCTTCATCTTCATCTTCATCTTCATCTTCACCATCATCATCATCATCACCATCATCTTCATCACCATCATCATCATCACCATCATCATCATCATCACCATCATGATCACCAGCAACAACATCACCATGACCATCCCAACCATCCCTACATCGGCGTCGTCATCGCCCTAGGAAGAAGACAGTCCTAACGTCGTAGGTAGTTGGCCGCAGCCTCCGAGGCTGGCTAGGACGCCCCAAATGTCATCCTTAAGTCTTCGAAGCACTGCGCATGGGAAGCTGCTATTCAAGGCCGCTTGCCAGCGTAGGTGGGCATTGCAAGGGGACAAAGTATGAAGAGGCATCGTCAGGATTGTTCATTGGCCTTCACACCCCCAGCCCTGACCGGGGGACTGCACGTTCAGCTAATGAATCCTACAAGGCACCTGCTTCCATTTCTTCGTGCAGCTCGGCTCCGAGGGGCGTGAGTCCTTCCAGCTGCTGGAGGAGCTCATGACTCGGGATTTGAGTTTGAAGCTTTCAGGGTTTGAGGTGGCTTGGTGACATGGTGATTAAAGTCTTGGGCGTCTTCTTCAGCATCACATATACTTTCAACAATGCATTTCGCAGGGGCAACATTCGTTGGCTTCGGCTGCCGGGCCGGTCCATGCGCCCCAAAGCTTGAGTTTCGTCGGTCGAACCCTGATCTATCCAACGGTACTTGCGCTCTGCATCTGTGCCTTTCGCCGTGCAGCTCGGCCATCTGCAGATTCTTCCTTGGGGTCAGGCAGTTGTTGTTGTTCGTGCTTCTTGGAGATTTGGTGCTTCTGTCCCTTGTCCTCCTCGGGCTCAGGCTCTTCCGGGTCCCATCGATCAGGTTTGAAGATTGCAGTTTTTCGTCTTGGCTTTCCGGCCTGGAATGAAATGCCGACGGTGTTGGCGTAGTGTTGGCTTGAGGCTGTGCGACGGTTTCGAGTTGAGCTCGGCTTAGCACTCAACGTTGAGGCAGGTTGATGGTCCGAAAAGATGAACCCAACACCCTTGTTTTTTGTTTTGGTTACGAAAAGTCAGATTTCGCGCAGAACTGCTGAAGACCATACAGGCACGTGCGTTCAACACGGGAACGTGAAGACTTACCATCTGCAGCAAATTCTGCGATGGCGGCCGATGCCAGAGCGGATAGGTGCATAAAGCCCAAAGTCTCCCAAGAGCCATTTTATCTGCAAGTAAGACCCTTATTTTGACCCGGAGAGTGGCAGATCTCTGAAGGACTTCAACTGGAACAGGGTCATTCACCCATCAGCGGCTGGCTCGCATGTGCAGGGTTTTCCGGATATGGGTTACTCTGCACAATGTGTAATACATAGCACATAGCAAAGTGCAGTTCTGTAGTCAGGAAGCTGTAGGGCACCAGGGCCGCGTGTACATGGAGTCATGCGGAGGTACACCGAAAAGACTTGGTCTGAGTTTGTGTTCGGTGCTACCCAAAACTTCACGTCGTAGGAATAGCAGAGCTTGAGCTTGCCCAGGAAGTCGACATGCTTATGTTTATTTTGCCATCCTCCACGTCCGCTGTCCTCCCGATTCGTGCCCAGAAGTGGGTTTGGGAGTTTCAGGCAGTGAAAACCAATGAATCCAGAAGTTGAAACAAACTAAATCCTGATTTAATGGTTGGGTTTTGACATACCTTAAGCAGACAGTACCAACGCAGCAGCAACAGACGCATGTCAAACAACTGCCAAACAGTCGCACAGAAAGGATGCAGGATCAGCAGCAGGCAACAGTGGACATCGTGGTGGCAAAACGACGTACGGATAAAGCAGTAAAGTAAGTTCGTGTAGCATTAAAGGCTGACGATTAGGGTTGTGGCACTGTTTTCTGAAGCGCTCAAGGTTCCGAATGCGCGTGCCGCTGTCGAGTACAAGGCTGTGCGGAAATGGTATAAGTTGGAGGTTTTGGGCTTTGGGTTGCTTCGGAGACTCTGTCGAGAGGCCTTGACTTCGAGTAGCACTGAGTAGCGAAGTACGGCCAACAGCAGATACCAAGAGCCTCCTCTAGAATAAAGACAGGGGCAGGGTCCACCAAGATCCATTTCACTCATGCATGCTGCATGAAATTTAGGCCACTTTGGCATGGATCATTAACTAACCAGCGGCATGGTTGGCGAAGGCATCCCAATGGCATTCCGAAGCATGTTTACTACCACAGCGGAACTTTCTCACCAACGTTTGAGACATCTGTTGCCGTCCCTTTCCGACGGAGTTCCAAAATTATCCTGATTCTGCATGAGCCTGGGGAAGGTGCCATTCCCTGCAAGCTGGCATCCCGAAGCACTCTCGAGCTGAAGTCCGCAAGCCCTGACAGCTCGGCAGAATCCACCGGGAGCCTCCAGACAAGCCGCAACTTCAAAAGCCCCAAACCCCAGCAACCCCGAAGCCAACCCCCCTTCCGGGTCTTGAGCTCCAGGTGGAAGGTCCGGAAGTCGGTGATGCCAAGACCCGAGGCACCATGCATCTTTGTTTTTTTTTTAAAGCCTACCTTTGGCATCATTTTGCGTGTTCTGTGGACTAGAGGTCTATAGAAGGCTTTTAGGCTTGGGGTGCCTGAGGGGCAGTCGTGTTATGTGGGGCATCCCTGAGTGGTGCTGTTGCTACTCAGATCCGTGCGTCATGAGTGTTCTCACTCGAGGGTTTAGGTGTTCCGAGCCTGAGGCTTCCAGGTTAAGTACCTGCTAGTAAGGATGCCGGGGTTGAGGGGCTCTCAGGCTTGCGTCCTTCCTCCAGGCTACTATTAACATAGTACGGCCTCATGTTCGCTGCTGGCAGCTCCAGGTGAATCTTGGCCAAGAGCTCGTATTCGGTTCGGCAGATCACAAGCCTGGAGCCTCACCCAAGTGGCCGGAACATGTTCGTGGCCTTATGCACTGGCCGCATGTAGCCCCCAAGCCCCGGCTGCACGAAGGGCGTGACGAAAAACGCGATGACTGAAAACCCGAAAGCTGAACCCGGAAGGCCTTAACCTTCGAAAAAGTTGAGGCTTCAAAAACCCGACTGCCTGCACCCTGACACCAATCACTCCAGGCGTACGATCAATCCCTGACCAAGATAGGTCCTGACCAATGCGAATGCTAGCACCACACAGACAGGCGCCCTGATCCCAGGACCCTAAGCCCGAAAGGCCCTTAAGAAATCCAATCATGCCGGCCTCCCAGCCCGAAGCCGTTCCGGACCTTCAGCATATAACAAACAGAATACTGTGAGCCTTGGGCATGCCTCGTGCGATACGAGCGGTAGAAACCGCTGCTGACGTTTGCTTGCAATTCTCGTTGCACAAGCCAAGACGAGTAGCAAAGAAAGGCATGCCAACACGGGCTGTAATCCTATACCCCGGGGCACTAGGTTTCCTCCCTAAACCCTTTCTTCCCAGACCCGTAGGTTCAATCGTCAAAGTCAAACCCAGAAACCCTAAACAAAAACAACTCTAAACCCCCCCCGTAAGCCCTAAAACCCTAAAGCTGAAAAGGCCAGAAACTCCCAAAGCCAGGCTTGAACTGGACGATCGGGCTGGACGGCTACGAGAAGCCGGGGGATGTCTTCGACCCCTGGCCTGTCGGGATTTGGAGCGTCGGATTTCGGGTTTAGGGTTTTAGGGGTCTCGGGTTTAGGGTTTCGGGTTTCGGAATTCAGGTTCAGAGTTTGGTATTTAGGGTTGGGTTCCTTAGATGTTAGGGTTTCGGATTCAACAGTTTCTGCTCTTGAACCCCAGTTTGCGATTTTCGATGTGGTTTGGAGGCTATGGGTCCACGCGCAAGGACGTGTAGGGCGAGCTTAGTCCGCTTCAACCTCCAGCCCTTGATGCAGAAGTCCTAAGTCGAAGGTCGGAACTGTAACGGCGGTGGACCTTGCTAAACCTCGAAAACCTGAAGCTCTAGAGCTCTCTAAACCAGGGGGTTGCCCCGAGAGGGATCTCTTGGCCCCAGGGGTTTGTGCCAGAGGGTAGAGCAGGAGCAAAAAGCAGATCAACAAGAAGTCCTTAGACCCTCGATCCTACACCTGGAAGGCAGAAGGAGCTCGACAACAGTCTTAGAGGTGTAGAATGGTAGGGAGTAGGAACTGCACAGCCTCGTTATTCCCTCTAATGTTGTGCTTTGGCCGGCCTCGTCTGTGCGCAGGGGTTACTTGTGGGTCGTCAGGTTCGCTGGCCTGAGCTTTGGTTCAGGCCATGCAAATCGGTTGTCCGACCTGGCTCCATCATAGAGGTGTTCCGACTGAGGTAGGGAGGAAAAGGGCCCACAAAGAAAAAGACACATGAAGGCCCGAAGCCTTGAACCTATCCTCAAGCCAAGCTCTGTGAAGTGTCGCCGTCGGATCACGCCTCTGAACCCAGACCTCGGGTCCAAAGGTTCTAGGCATTCCAGGCTGACTCAGGCGGGGGGGCTTTAAGGGCTCGGTGTGCCCCAATGCCAATGTTCTCAAAAGCCCTGCGCACAAGAATGGTTTTGCTACCTAGGAAGTGCTCGTGTACGGTGAAACCCATCGTGTGGAGCGGGTGCGGTGGCAGCGCATTGATCCGATGATCGGGGTGCCTCGGCCAAGATGTGTTGAACCCGTCTGCTCGTGCATGTACTCTCGGCTTGCAACCTCCCATCGCTGACTTTCAACAGCCGAGCTGCCCTTTCCAGAAAATCAGCCTCCGCATACCTCGTCATGAGCACCTGCTCATGCCCAAAAATCCATAGCCCAGAACACCAAGACACGCTTATCTTTGTCAGGCCGCCGCCATTCGCAAGGCTGAAGAGACGGGATTGCTTTTCGGCAAGTAGATAGGAGCCTGTGAAAGGGGTCCCAGGGGGCGCGAGCATCAAAGAGTAGGATCAGCAAATCGGCTCCTCAACTTGTACCCCAGATATGGCCACGCAGCAAAGCAGCATGCTAATTGATGTTTACATGGCGCTTCTTGCGAGATGTTTACTGATTACTATGAAGTGCAGTATCCACTCTTAGCCCTATCTCCCACACCCGGTTGTAGCCCTTTCCATCAGGAACTTTCTCATGTGCTTCTGCTGACATTTGCTACGCAGGAGTCGTTAGTATTCGTAGTAGTCGTAGGAATAGGAGTAGGGAGAGGGTGGCGAGGGGGGGGGGGGGGCATCGATGACGT